GAACAGATTTTGAGGCCAAAAAGAATGAAGACCGTTTAGTCTGGGTTCCTACGGATTACAGACCATTAAACGCCCGGCAACGTCCGTCACAGCTGTGTCCTGCGGTCGTGCTGTTCCAGAGACCATCTCTGATGACCCAGGCTGTTACTCCCACAATCACAAATCACCTCAGAGATCACAGGTGTACAGAACCGTTTCTGCACACATACTGCAATGTGCCCCATCCATTACCGGCCACCAGCGCTGCTGTGGTCCCAATCCTTGAGCGGTGCTTTTAGCAAATTTACCTTCAGCAGCAACTGGAACTTGGTCACTTGGTACTTGGGAACAATCCCTTTCCATCACCACCATCTCTTAACCATGAGCCCAAATGACACCCTCCACTTAGCTGCTTTTGCATGATGTAAGCACAAAGACCAGCAGAGATCAGCAGAAAGGTGATTTTTACTGCAAACCTAACAATAAATTCTACCCAGAAGTCATGTTCACATGCCCATCCACTCTGCTCAACACCTGCGCTGATGCCCCTGGATCCCACCCCGTCCCCTGACACCACCAGCTCTTGTTCCACAGCAGAAAAGCCATCTCATCTGATTTGGTTCCACCAGCTGCATTCCTGTTCCCAGGGATGCTAAACTCACCCCCCCAGCAGTTTCTCCTGCAGCAGTATGTGCCACTGCCATCTGGGGAGCTGGCTCCTCCTCAAAAAGTATTTAAATATCCCTGGAACTTATAGGAGTGTAAATGAAACATGACAAAAACCGTAACACAACACAACGTACGCCTGGAGTGAGGGAACGTCAGCGAGTGCCTGGTGTCTGAAATGGGAAAAGCTCCCGTCCAAGAAAGAGCTCCTCGCTCCCCCCGGGTGCCAGGACCCCCCACCCGCTCCCTTCAAAGCAGAACCTGCACTGAGGGCTGCTCTCCACAGACCTTTCCCATTGTCAGTGGGACCCCCAGTCCCTGTCCCGGGGGACAGTCACCAGCAGCGAGGGGCCGCGCAGCTCAACGACACACCGTGCAAACCCCCACCCACACTTCTCGGTTATTTTGAAGCCCCCTCTCACCATTTTCTGTGATTTCTGTGTGTTAAAGGTGACAAACAAAATCTTAACGACATTTAGGCCAGCAACATCCTCACCAAAATGCATCCCATTTACCCGTTCCTTTTCCACAGCGCACTTCAGCCTTTAAGAAACTGATGTTGAGCAACAGGAACAGCTTTAGCTGCAGCAACCCTTATTTATGCTGGAAGTTTGCCTCCACCTTTCAAATCCCTCCTGAATTTGGAAGTTAACTCAGCTTTCCTTTATTACATTTCTTATATTTTCGAATGTTATTTCACCTCCACTTAGACTCTAGGAACATGCTCAAGACCCTCATCTATGTTATCCTTTGTGTTCCTTCATCTTTTAAGGGATTGTTTCCCCAAGCTCTGGTTATTGGGAACAGCGTCTGTCCTTTCAGACCCCCCAAAAGTGCAAAGTGAAATCAGCTGCTTCCCAAACTCGGACCTGCCTCAGCAGCAGCGAGAGCAGGAAAGAGGGACCTGGAGGCTCCCGACCCCGATGGGCGGAAGGTGCAGACCTTCCCCACCCCATCCTCACCTGGCTCCTTCCCAGCAGCGTCGCTCATCGCGCAGCACCAGTATCATCACACAGCACCAGTATCATCACACAGCACCGGTATCATCACACAGCACCAGTATCTCCACGCAGATGAGCACCGCTTCAGCCTCTGCTTTATTTCCACAGCTAAAGGAAACCCGGAGACGTCTCCGGAATGCAAGATTCTTCACTGATCCACACGATCTTCAATAAATGCTCTGTGCCTGGCATTTGACATATCGGTGCTCCCAAATCATCGGGAGTTTTGCCAATAATTGTATTAGACCTGATGGTTTTCCCTACGTTATGCATAATATGGCATTTAGGTTATCAAAGCAGTCATTCTGAACAAAGAATGACGATGTCAACCACTGCACTAAACTGCCATTTTGCTCAGTCATTTCATGAAATAACTGAAAATTGTAGGTAGGCATTACACGGAAAGACTAATCCCTGAATATTTAGGATTATTAAATAAAAAGGACAAGAAAACTATTTGCTGTATTACATTCATTTATGAAACCACGCAGTCTTTTAGATGTTTCTTCTTGAAACCACACTAGCAAAAACTGTCACTTTCCTGAACCGATCCTCACTTCTACAATTGAGCCCATTTTCTGAAGTGACTGAAAGTTTGAGTCATTTAGCACAAGAACTGCTCCCACAACAGAATTCTAAAAGTAATGCCACTCATTTCAGAATTTCCGTGCTGTATTTTGTGCAACAACCAAGCAGAACCATCAAGCAGAGAAGGAAAGTGCTTGGGGTTTTACTGAGATGCAGAATGGCTCCAGCTGCCACTCATTCCAGCAAACGACTGATTTTACAACAGGACCATAATGCAGACAGGCTTTATTTCCCTTCCTTTGCCCCTTTCCTCTTAGTGTTATTATATATAATTTTTCCATGTCTGCATCCTGCTCAGCTTTGTGCCTAGTTTTCCTTTTCTTTGCTCGTTCTTACACTACTTTGGCCATGTAAAACGTCAGATCATCCTTTGACTCTACAGTTCAATCCACTTCCCTCTGAATCCACCAGGAGCTGCAAGAGGCAGCACTTCCCCACGGCACCTCACCTGCCGCCCTTGGCGAGGCACACGTGGATTTAATTCACCTGCCTTAATTAAGCCTTTGCAAACCTTATGTGGACAACCTCACTTCAACTTATGGTGGCCTTGTTTTGTTTACTGAAACTAGGTTATAATTCCCATCTTCACAGAACTGGGACCTCACGGCTCCCTGTGATTATTAACATCGCCCAAAACGGGGGGTTACCGGCTTCTTAATTAGTCCCACTGGACAAGCTGAGCTGAGATAACAAAGCAAGCCTTAACGCTGTCCTCCTCTCGCTTCAGCTAAGCTCAACCGAGCCACGATGCCTGGTGCACAGAAGACCCCGGGGTGCCTGGTCCCTCGGTGCAGACCCCGCGCATCCCCGAGCCGGCTCCGAGGGGCCGGGGTGGCCGTGCCCCCTCACCCTCCCCCCGCGGCACTGGAGGGTCTTTAGGGTCCCTTCCAACCCAAACCAATCCGTGATTCTGCGATTCATGGCTCTGCCACCAAACAACACCACGCCATGGGTACAGGCATCACGCTGCTGATCTGCTCTGCTGCAAATTGGGAGTTTGGTACATTTTCAGCACTGCTTTTCTCGCTGATAATGCTGAACTTCATTTCCTGCCACTGCTTCACCTGGGCAGATTCCTGTAATTCTATTGATTTAGGCCCCAACCCAGCATAACATTTAAAAATGTCATTACATTAAACATTCGATCAATTTAATTTCAGTAAAAATAAATTAATTTCAGACTTTTGCAGCCTTAAAGCTGTATGCACACATAAAGGTGGGATGGGTTTCAATCCAACAGAAGCACAACTTCCCAGGGTGAGAATACAACTCCAGGCATCAGTACTGCAAAATCCAAACGTTGCGTTGCTCGGTCTCAGGGTTCTCCATCAATCACAATTCATAAAATCACTGTACAATTGCAGCCCTATCAATACATTAACTCCCAGAAAATATTTGTTAAGAGCAAAAACATTTTAGCTGTTCGTTTTCACATCTTACCCAGTCTGAAGGATCGTCAGATTTATGTGAATGCTCTAACAGCTTGAAACTCTTCATATTTCCTTCCCGGATTTCTGTATACGAAAACTATTTGCAACTATTGCAAATTTGTTCATAGAAGGATCTTCTGCCAGCAACTGCAATTTTTTTCTCATAGCACAAGACAGGTATATCTGGTGGCTGGATGGATTTCCAGTTGTCATTATGAGTGTATATGTTTAAACTCCAGCACAGGAGCCCCAGCGCACGCGCTCACAGCACCGGGCACGGCGTGGGACACGCAGTGCTGGTGGCACCCAGCGCAGCCCCCACACGGGCTCACTGCACCCCAGGGAACCAGGGGGGTCACGGATCTGGCCCCCAACTGGCCACTTTTTGCCAGAAACGCAAAGCCCTTCGTGTTGGTCTGCCATGGCTGCAAATTATTTCCCATGTTCTGTAGCCAGAAACAGAAGCTCCTGCACTTTTTTGCTTTTAAGACAAAACACAAGACAAAAGAGCCTTCAAAGAAGGAGAGAACAGGTAACCTGACAAACCGCAGTACCCAGGCACAGCACAGTTTGCTTACACAGGTCTAAGACAAGAAACGCACATGTACCCAACCCCATGCCAACACCAAGATGGTCAGATCCCCCCCTTGATGGTGGCACCAACCAAAGATTGAACCTTCCCAGCATCACCGGGTGATTTTTTGCAAGGTGGTGAACAAGTGTCATCAGTCGATGGCTCCCGCCTTTGCGTGCATTTCTAACCCCGTTCTGGAGTATTTTGAAATCAGGCAGCATTAGCCAGCCAGCCAGGGATCCAGGTCCCACTGGAAAGCCCCCCTGGAAAGCCAAGTGCCACTTCGGGAGCGTACGCTGGCATGGGCAGGGTGAGACCCTCTCACGGGGCCATAGGGAGGGGTCCAGGCACCCAGTGTCACCCACCCCGTGGGGCTGGGCAGCACACGAGGGACACAGGGTCTGTCCTCGTGTGGCACCCGAATGCCCTCTTTCCTCTCGGATCCCACCCAAATGCCCTCTTTCCTCTCGGATCCAAGACGAGCCCCGGAGCGGCGTTCCCACCGCCAGGCTGGGGCCGGGTCTGTGCAGGGACCCGCGCTCCTCACCACGGGGAGAACGGGGGGCCCCAAAACCGCATCCCAGTTCGGCTCCAGGAGACAAACCCCCACGGGTCTGATTTAAATATGCAAAGTCTGCGGGGCGCTCCAAGCCCACATGCAGTTACAAGCGTGCAGCCTACTCCCATTTAAATGCAGATGCTTTAAGAATAATTATAAATGGATCAATCTCGCCGGGAAGCAGCAGAAAGGCGCGGGTACGTGCCGGAGGAGCAGGCAGAGCCGAGGACACCCGGCGAACTGCCGCCCGGCTCTCACGTTTATAAATAATTTACTCCCATCCACCTGTGCCCGGAATAACAATCTGCCGCCCGGAATCTCCGAGCCGGTGGCGGGAGCTGCCGGGGACTCGCTTTCCCGGGACCCTCCGGACCTGTTGGGAAGGGGCCCGGGTCTCCGGAGGGACCTGCCCCCTGCGGGAAGCGGCTCCGCCGAGCGAAGGGGGAGCATCGCTCCGGCCGCCCGCCCCGATCCGCCGCCGCCGGCCGGGCACCGGGCGCCACAGGGCGTGCGGGCAGGTCCGGGAGCGCAGGGGCTGCGAGGGGCTGCGGGAGGCTGCGGGAGGCTGCGGGGCGGCCGTTCCGCCGCCGGCGGGAGCG